ACCGACATCTGGTGAAAATTTCATGTCATTAGCACCTCTAGTAATATATTTACTGAGAAAAATGGTGACGTGTTCAATACTTATTTTACCCGCTGTATTTGTGGCAGTTACCTGGGATGATAAATTACCTTTGTGAGAGTTTCCTCTCCTGAGGCTTTGTTAGAACTTTGAATAGAAAAGTCCTCTAAATGGCTCCTTGGTTCCTCTGGACTTTTACTTGGCAGAACCATAGGTGGGGGGCCAAAATGCATTTTCTGCAGCTGAAGCTTCATCTAGAATAGCAGAGCATGGAACGATGCTTTAAATGAAGCACAGCTGACCTAAATTCTGCAGTAAATGCGAAGAACATAAAGGCTGTACCTGCAGAGCTTTGATTTTACCCGGAACATTCTCCTGAGATAAAATCCTGGCAGGTTCATCGTCTGTCAGGACCTGGTCGTCCAGAAAGATGCTGTCATGGGAAAATGCTCGAGATCCCATCGCTCCTTTGGGACCTCTGAAAACAGAACGGAACAGAAGGTTTGGGGGAACAGCTGAAGATCAGAGAGCCAGAGATGTGAACATTCAGAAAGGTTTCCTGCCACTCACACCAAGTCTTCATCTGATCCCAGTCCTTCCTCTGCAGTGACGTCGCTGGCCGACTGGCTAAGTTTGACATTTGCTTCTTCGCTCGTCTTCTTACTTCTCCTAAAGAGACGAGTCTTCAGAGATTTTATTTTGGAGTTTTTACGTCCTGCAGAGATCAACAGAGAATAATGTAAATTATTTGGCAATTTGGTCTAATTTATCTGCTGCTGACATCTTCCACAACATTATCCTTTATTCTGATGATTAATTTCAACATGACATATAATCCCACCTGCAGTGTCCTCTGTGCTTTCTTCTCTATCTCCAGAGAACGGCTCCATCCGTCTGACGCTTTAAGAAAAAAAAGGCAAGAAAAATGTTTTTAAAATAGGAATCATTAACCAAGTGCACCATCAACAAAAAGTGAATACATTTTTAAGGTTGATGTCACATGGTGGAGGACATCTAATGTAGCATGAAAACTGCCCTGATACATGCTTTGTTCTCGTACATAAGAAGGGACGTGCAGGTCCAAAGGTTTATTATACGACTCATTATCAGGAACAGAACTACCCTTTACTGTATCCAGGCAGGGTGGAGGGATGCAACCTTGATTGGATCAGCAAAACACAAGCTAATTTAAATCTTTATCAATTTAATAAGAATTTTTAGGGACAGAAGAATGGGGTTCAAGTTTTTGAGCATGACAGACCATGTTGCATAAAACCTATCAAACTAATTATCTCTGCTCCTTGGCAGAAATCTTTTATCACTTTATTTTAATATCTTTCCACAAATAATGCAACACTTTAACTTTATTTTGGGAATTAAACATTACTTTTGCATAGATATCACATGATCAAAATCAACTATATGCTTAGATACAATTCAAACTCCTTCTTAGGCACTTTAAATGCTCAGAATGAGTTGATGTATTAATGGAGAAAATATGTAGGTCATTCTTTCCCCCTTGTTATTATATGATTATATTTTGTAACTCTCAGTTCTGTTGTAGATACCCCCGACGTGTGTTTTGCCATTCTGCCTGTGTAGCCAAGGAGTCAACAGAGCGTAATCTTGCTGGGCTGGCTGATAAGACTAGATATATCAGGTCATGGACAAATATGCAAAGTCCACACTGCGCCTATCAATGAGAACACCTTTTTTTTAGGATACAGGCACATGATTGTCTCATGACGCTTACAAAAACGACACTGAATCTGGTATGACAAAAAATAAAAATAAACAACGTTAAAATACAAGATTGGTGTTGTTAACTTCTACAATGAATGGGATTTTTATTTTTCAGAGCCGAGCCATAACCTCTAGAGAAACAAAGCATAATCCAGGGGATTACTGACATTGCAGAGAGATCCTTGCAAGATTTTACAGCGATATAATAATAATCCACAGCAAAGACTTGATCACAATGTTCCTACATTGCAAACGATAACAGGAAACTCTAAGGGGATCACACCTGAACAGACACGCTCACAGTCTCACACAAAACTGAGTGAACTTACCAAATAACCAAGCCAGCAGCTCGGCTTCTCTCCCTCCTGTTTGTCCTCCTCTCCACACGGAGTTCTCAGCTAAAGCTAATGATTAAAAGTCAGACTTTCAGCGTACACATCTGCAGATTTAAAGAAACAGGGAGGGTAGAGGGGGAAAAAATAGACACAAAGATAAAAAAAAAAGAAAAAGAAATAAAGCCAGAGGGAGAAAGTCGCTGCATGGCAGGGAAAGCAAATGCACAGAGAAAAAGAGGACAGATGAGAATGTGTGTGTGTGGGTGTGTAAGAGAGAGAGGGAGAGAGAAAGAGAGAGAGGGATACTCCATTACATTAGTGGCACACTATGGCCCTCTGTGCTAAGCTCCTTATAAAACGCTAACCTGATTTTAGGCCCAGAAATGAGAGTAGAGGGAAAAAATAAAGCTCCAGCAGAAAAGAGGACATGCATACAGGAATTATGGCTCGAAGAAAACTGTTTATTCACCACACTGGGTCACTTTCTCCTGCTGCCAGATGATGACAGAGAGAAGTGTGTGTGTTTGTTTTAGTTTTAATGGTTAGTCATGAATTAGCCCTCTCACAATCATAGTAAATTCAAATCTGACTTATTTTGTTGTCAATGATTAAAAAGAGCACAGGTTTTTCAGCTTTACACATCACTAATCACATCATTTTCTGATCATAAAACAGTGTTGTAGTAAACCAGTTAATAATTCTGGTTCACTTTATTAAATTACTAAAATGTAAATAAACAGCAATTTATTAAATAATAGCAATTTAGTAATATATCTCATATATACAGTATATATATAATATATATATAGTATATACTGTATATTAGGGGTGCAACAATACATGTACCCATATCAAACCGTATCGAACAGTGCTTTAGGTTCAATCCACACTTGTATGGAACAGTACAGATTTTAAAATTTTATTTTATCAACTTGTCTTCTGAAGATGCTCTGTGTTGAAGGATCAGTGGATCTGTGTTCAACTGCTCCACCTAGGCTGCATTGTCGAGCACAGATCCACTGTGAAACTTGCTGTTTCAGCAACATTTAATTTAAAAACTGTACTTTTGAGGTTAAACAAATGTTCATAATTAATTTAAATAAATTACAACTCAAAAAGGGCTTGTAAATTTCTCTTTTTTTGTATCGAAAAAATATCGAACCGTGAGAGTGAAGTATCGAACCGAATCGTGAATTTTCTGTATCGTTT